TCAAATGGCTCCCTTCTTTTGTATTGACCCCCTAAGGATTGCTAATCCCCCTTTCTAACTCTTCCCCCAAAAATAATATATCGCCCCTTTTAAAATGTATTGAGCCACAAATTAATGAATATTCATGAGCACAGAAACTGCAACGTCATGAATAAATTAGCATAATTTTAAAAAAATTGCATAAAGTGTAGGTACTCCTTCTGGAGCTCTGCCTGTATTTCCCATACCTCAGTTGATTAAGACAAGTCTTAATAACGGACAGTGGATGTGTCTTGAATGAGTTTGGAGCTTTAACTGTGTTTTGTTGTTGTTGTTTTTTTAATATTAATATTGTTTTGTTCACTCGCAATAACATAATTTGACTAGGATATTTTATGGATACTACAGTGTTAAGAAGCAAATAGTAGGCGTCTTTGACAAACAGCGTAATCCGACGTGCGCTATTTAATCTTGTGTACAGAGTAAATACCATAGGCGCTCATGGTAACAAAGAATGAAGAAAGCAATTTTCATCCCGGTTTTTTTTAGTTTTATGGCTTACTCAATGTGTCTGCAATTTCGTAGCAGGAAAGGGCCCTACTTTTAAAGGTAACATAGGTGGCTCGTATAAGCCGAGTAGTTCACGGTAGGCCAATCACGACTGGACTTCCATCAACGTCATTGTCGTAGTGAACAACGACGACTTCGATCAACGTAATAACAAAGGTTGGAGAAACAAACAGAACGGGACGTACCTCGGGCCTCTGGGACTTTATGTCTACATAGTTCGTTTCCTTGGTTCCATTCACGACTAACCAGTCCAATTTTTTTGAAACAGAAATATATGTTTTTCAACAGTATTGGTATTTTTTCCTTGTGGGTCAATGTAACTTGACAGACTCCAATCTCGTCTTCCAATAACAAATTACGGCAAAAGTTGTACATTTGCAGCAACTGTTTCAAAGATAAAGATTTGGGTCAGAGTCGATATTTGTTATTGTATTTGTTTTAAATATCTCGTATATTTGAAATACATTAAAAATTAAATTCATAAAGGGAATGCATTTCCGAAATTCTGTAGGTTCTAGTAACTATATTCAGATTATAAATTTCATCAAACGGGCGAACGACATGTTGTGAATTGCCTGAATATCTTTTTTGACATACAGGAAGTAGTTGATAATTTCGTTTTGGTTGGTTGTGTGTGTGTTTTATGTTAACCCATCTCAAATGACCTTTTCAACTCAACCTAGCCAAATTATGACGACTATATGTAGTTTTATATTTCTTATTTGAATTCGGGCAAAACTTATTTTGACTTGTTTCGCCGTTTGGTGTAGCAGCTGTCGACAATTTTTTGTGTTTTCCCGACGTACACGTGTGTATGAATGCAGAAGCTTTTACCAGCACTAGCAGTGCTGCGCCTGACAGCCTCGTGAGCGAAGGTCAGGTATTGGAACTACTAGATCAGTTCTCAAAGACAACGTACAGGGCTCGGGACAAGGAAAGAAAGGTAAGAGTTACTGCGTTCAATGACTGTGCATCAACTCGTGCAAAAAAATGACGACCAACACTGCATGTACACGTATACAAAGCGACCCGCCTACTTTTCATAAACTTATCTGGTCATAATAAATAGTAAAAGATTCATGTGATGATGTCATATGCCAGATTAATTTGAATATTGTAACATAGAGATAAACAAAAATCCAATATAAACATAAGACAAGTGCAGACTTGACAGAGATACAACATTGAATTATTAATATTCTTACAACTGGATGGGAAAAAAAAAAAACATTTTTGTAGAGTCAATCTTTAATGACTGATAAGACTGGCTTTTTAAGTTTTCTATTCTCACAACGATATCAGTATTGTATGATATTAGCAAATGATGTTACAGTACGATACAAAATAGTGGTAATTAGTCCATGGAATAACTGACTTTTTTTTTCAAATCTAATATTATTGACAGCATGAAATTGTGGAGAGAAGATGTTTACATTTATTTGCCAAAGACTACAAATACTCGGTAAGCTAATTTGTAATTAACACCATACAGTAAATTAGATGCTATACAACAATTGCATACAATTTATATTGTATGTCTGTATGCTAATACAGTGAAATAAATAAAGCTTTGATGCAAACTATACATTACAATGTACATACTGTATTATTAAAGTGTGTTTGAATGATTAACATCCCAGGTCAAAATATGATGCATAGCATTGGATCTCCTGTCCTAAATATTTGCTACAGCCATTAAATGATGTATACATTCAAGTCATTGTTTAAAACATGAAAAACAATGCAAAAAGTGTATTTCACAGATTGTTAGTGATCACTAGTGCGTTACCCTCTTTAGTATACCAATAATGCTAAGTTTGTACATTTTGTACATTTTTTGTTTGTACAAGAGTTTTTTATGTTTATTTATGTTTAATTTCTCAAGGAAATTATTATTGTTTGTTGTCAAAATTGTTTATTTTTGCGCTGTAATAAATACACTTAGTGCAATCTGTTCCAAGCACTAAATACAATGTATTTTTTTATGTCCTAAAAAAAACAACTAACTTAATTGAAACTGCAGTGAGTAGAAAAAGTGGGTTAAGGCATCTAGGATGTGCATAGTTTGACCAATCACACATCTTGTCTCATCTACATTGTGTATGTACTAGTATATGTTCCATCAGTTTCATGTTTAGCTGATGATGTATGCAGATACCCAAACACTGATAACTTGCATTTTGTTAGGTGATACATAATGGTAATGGTGAACTGTGTAATCACTATCCAACTAAGTTAATTCTCTTGGAGTATGAATTGTCAAACAGTGATGTGTACCCAACCAGGTAAAGTGCTTTATGTAACATTTTGCTAACATGTAGAAAAAATAATAATTACCAATGAATGATTTGTTTTCAAAACAACTGATCATATTCTACTAAACGTTGAGTCTTCTCCATGCGATTGTTGCAAAAACGCAGAAATAATGCAATTCTCATTATTATAAAATACCATGCATCTGTTAAATTCTGTGGCAATCACTTGACTTTCATACTTCTTTGGTTGACACATCTAGTGCTTTGCAGTATGAAATTCACCTTGTTTTGCTGGGAATTGTAGGGAAGATAATAATCAATAGATCATCATAGAAAAACATGTCCTTTTAGCTAGCTTTTTTTGCTAGTTTATCTAATACATAATTTACTAATTCAAAATAAAGTATATTCTCACAATGGGAGTGTTGACACTTTTTAGCTCAAGTAATATTCAACTAGATATAATTCAAGCACTGTGTCAAATTTGCTAAAATGATATGTAGCTATTTCAACATGTTTTATATGTCAACCATTTTGTGTATTGTGTTTTAGACAATGAATGGTACATGTTTTGAAAACCATTAACATCTGTAAACATGCACAACTTTTATTGTGTCTTCTCTCACTACTATAACTTTCCTTGGTTCAATGCAATTATCTCCTCTGTTGCATTTTCTGTGTGCAAAACAAGTTGTAAATATGTCAAAGTCGTTACTTCATTAGAAGCTACACTCATGATTCACATCACATTCTTTCAGTGTCATAACGTAGTAGTTCATCTTCAGTGCTTATCTATAGTTCACCTGTGCTGAAACAACTTTCATTGTTCTCCTCTCTATTGCAATTATTGATTTGTTTTTTTATATTGTCACATTTTTTATAGTGTTGAAAGCCTGTATGATTTAGCAAAGATGCAAGAACTTTTCACAAAAGCCCGCTTTGCCAGATGTCGATCACGCTTTGTTATACCGGTTTTACTTTATGAGGGAAAGGTATGCGCTTGTCACCATTTGTCTTCGCACATTTTGATATATTCTCATACTGTTAAAATAAGATATGTTACTGAAGTTTACTCACTTTAAATGCATTGTTCATGCACATCAATGATAGGCCCCTCCCTAGGTACATGTTGACTAATTTGCATGATAATATATTTAATTTGCATATGTATTTTGTAACTAAAATAATTAACTTAACTCTAATGTTTCTTGATAGTTCAAGCATGGCCTTTCAGTAACACGCGTGTAAAACTGCTGTTCTTAAAAGGCCTGTAGAGAAAACTGACAAAACACTGAACTGTTGATCTGGAAAACAAATAATTTTATGGCTAACATTTCTTTTTCTACTATTTTATACAGCAAATATGTAGATCATCTACTTTATCTGCTGGTGCTGAGATCTATGGCAGGTCGGGTTTAGATTATTTGTTTAATACAGGTATGTCATACTGGTCTATTTCATGTATATTAAACTCCTCAGATTTATTGTTCCGTCAGACATATGAAAGCTACATGTACCTTACTAGTCTGGCTGTTGCATTCAATTTGACAATCAAAATTAATAAACTTGCCAATGAATCAATGTTTTTCGTCATTCAGCCACTACATACATACAGCCAAGCCAGTAGAGTCAACTGTACACTTTTACTGCATACATGTCTTGACAATTAATATCCCTAGTGCATACTTCACTGATCATGATGATAATTACCTGATGAAATTATAATTATGATGGACTTGAATTTGTATGCAACCCTGCCAATGTTGTACATGCACATCTGAGGTCGGGATAAAAAGTGAATAAATTGATGTTTAATACTGAATAATGCAGACGTGTGTCACCGCTGCATTTATACCAAACAACTTGACCAAATGTGTGTATTTTTGTCTGACTTCAGAAGATCTTTTTATTTTAAGATCTTTATTGTTTAATATTTTTTTCAATATTGTAATTTGGATTCATTTTATTGAACTTTTCTAGGTGGTAGTGGAGGTGGTGTTGGTTTCTCAGATGTTTCTTATGAGGAAGATTCGCCTACTGATGAAATGCTGCAGACAAATCAAGCCACTAGTGGGTAAGACTAAACAGATTAGAGTGGTGTGAATCTGCTCATCAGTTTATATACAGATTATTATCCTGTCACCTGAGTAGGCTTACTGGCGAGTCATATTGTTAGACGAAGCTCTGAAACCTCCTATGTGCGCAGTTTTAAAAGCTTGTTGTCCCTTTATGTTGGTTATTCCATTATAGAGCTATGCAGAGAAATATGGATACAGAAGTCATATTGCATATACAGGGTACAGTACCCATTTTTTTTAGTTTCAGCAGTCAAGTTGGTAGTGCTAAAACAAAAGTTGATAGTTAGTGTGCTCTGGGATACCGTTTTTCCTGTTATAGCTTACTTCTGTTAATGAGTGACAATCTATGTGACCTTTGTAAAGATTAATATCCTCATTTAAAATTTGCACACAATGAACGAAAAAACGACAACATTGTGGCGATCAGACCATAGTGGTTGTATCAGACCAGTGTGGCGATAACAACAAATCACTGTAGCAGTACCACCAGGTGTATGTACCGGTCAGTTTATAATCTGACATCAACGGAATTGTTTGATTTTACAGTGATTGGCAGTTGATGGATAGAATTCGTGGTCAAGATATAAAGTTATTGAAATTATTATCAGTAGGCTATGTATGTGATCTGATGGTTGAAAAGAAGAAAGTTAAGTTTGGCATGTCGTAAGTCGAATTTGTTTATTAATATTAACTTCAATTGTTTTCTTGAAACTTCAAACAGGGTGGTATTACCATGCTTTAAAGTTGCACTCTGATAGCGTTCATTTATTGAAATCAGGATTATTATATGACATATTTATATGGATTATGGGAAATAATAATACAATTTAAAATTTCAATAATTTTCAGTATGTCTGAATTGCTGGCAATTGTTACAGCTTCTTATTTGATTATGTGTTCAAATGCACATGGATTCACAAAGAGTTGTTTCTGTTCCAAATTAATACGGGTCATAGTTATTCTAATCATGGGCTCAAGATCTATCTTTCTTCCCAAAATTCAGACCAGTAAATATTTCATTTAATAGTCTCAAGACCCCAATGCTTTCAGAGTGAACTTTAAGGTGCAAGGTATTTCATTAATTGTCATATTTACTTTATGAGAAGTGTATCTCCATTGATGATAAAGTGATTATCGTTATCTGATTCTCTCACACCTCTTTCAATGTAAAAACCTGATGGCTCCTTCTCTAGTGTTGATGATGTCGCTTGGCAACCACCGATTGATAATCCCTCTTGATTACAGTGTGACATCATCAGAGAAAGCTGACAAGGAACACCGGTATAGTGATTTCTGTCTCATGTCATTACCTTATCCTGGTTGTGAGTTTTTTAAGGATTATAAAGATAATAAGTATGTTGCAGAAGGGCTCTCATTTGACTGGACTCAGGTTAGTTTCAAATCAGTGTTGTTCGACCATATTATAATTCCAGTGTATTGTACCTACAGTGTTTACTGTTGCACATTTTTTGTTAGATTTCAATTTTCGTTGTATCTTAAATTTTGACATTGATTTTACAAGTTATAATAAGAATTTTTATGTTTATTAAAGTGTGACAATAGTGGACAATGGTTATAACAGAAAATTAATTTCAAACAAATTAAATCAACAATCATTATGAATTTGAAGTAATATTACTGTTAGTATAGTACAATGAATTAGTTAAATAAATACCTGAGAGTGATGCAAGAATTTATTCATTCCCTGCTGAAGATTCCTGAAAACACCGGACAATTGAATAATGTATAACTCGCTCCTCAGGCTATTTTTTGTTGTTGACTAAATAGGAAGTGCATGCAGTGTCTGCTATGGTAGTAATATGACACATGTATTGCTTTGCCTTTGCTACTAATGTATTATTTGGAAGAACTGCAATTTTTTCTAATTACCGATATGCCTGACTTGCTCCCACTAGTCTCCCAATTAAATGAACGTTATTAATATTCCAATTACCTACATGTACTGAAAAGCACAGATATTTTTACACAATACCCAAAATTTTATAAAATTGAAAAATGTGGTTTGTCGAGTTTCTAAAACCGAATATTAAACAACATTGTAATATACAAATAAAGTGAATTCAGTCACAATGGTATTGGTATTGGCATTATTGAAAAAGTTGAACCACCTAAGTATGTCTATGTATTCATTCCAAATATGTGTTAAATTAGTCCACCACTTCAGAATTGATTGGTTTTTGCTAAAATTCCACTCACAAATCTACACTTTGGTATTCTGGTGGTATATTTATAAATGTCATCCCTTGCAGTTAGCATAATTTTTTCATCTATTCCTTTTCAGGGTTTTGTTGATGCTGAATTACAGATACCTGGGAGTTGTAAACTTGATTCATTAGGAATAGATTGGACCAAATATAGGGTGAGTTAACATTATCTTTGGTAAAACTGCAGCTGTACATGGTGGATCAGATGTAATGTATCACATAATAAGAGAATAAAAGTGTCTCATTCTTAGCTGCTCCTACAATCTTATGTTCTGTATATGGAAATTGTGTTTTGGCAGATGAGATTCATGAACCAATTAGCTCATGCCTTTTTAAACAAATAAGATTAATTTGCACATATAGTTTGTAACACAAGTCCTGATTGGTTGATCATTGTACATAATTTGATTAAAATTTCCATATCTATTTTTTCAGAGCTAGTTGCACTGAATTGACACCCAGAGAGTATTCAAATTTAGCAAGAAAATGTATTGTTTTCCAAATCCACTAAAATTATACCCTGTGAATATTCTTTGTACAGTATACAGAGAAAACATAGCATACCTATCACAACCTTGACTAAGGTGTATACTTTTGAATGAGGTGTTACCATGGTTATGAGATTTAACATTTTGGTTATTGTTAAATCTAGACTTCACAGTGCTGTTTCATTGACACATGCACAGTTGAGATCATTTCATTATCAAACTAGACAAGGATAAAGCACAGTTTTTCAAAATAATATATGTTCATTAGAATACACAAACAGGTTATTTTGACGTGTTTTGATATTTATTGAATCAAATACAATGTAGATATACAAGTAATGAAGAATAGTTATTAGTCCCCGTTCGGACGAAGTCCGAAAACGGGGACTTATAATTCGGTCTCCGTCCGTCCGTGTGTCCGTCAGTGTGTCCGTGTGTTCGTGCGTCCGTCCGGAGTCATATCTCAGACTCCCTTGGACCGATTCCGTTCATTCTTTGCATGTGCCTAGTACTTTATGTGGGACATATGCACATGCAGTGGTTTAGCGATTCGATTCAAAATGGCCGACTGGCAGCCATCTTGTTTTTTGAAAATGTTGTATTTTGAACATGCTTTGTCAGTTTTCATTCAAACTTGGTACATAGATTATACATGTTAGGATACATGTCCATGATGATTTATTTCACAATTGGATCAAAGATGGCCG